AATTCACGGAGGGGAGAGGAACACACTGCTGGGATCGCCATCAGGAATTCGTTCCCGGGGATCGGGAAGGAACTACATTCGCCCTGAGAAAAATTGGAACAGTTCACTGAGGCCCTGGGGATATACTTACATTCTTGAAAACGATCGGATCTTGGTTTCCGCCCGGAGGAAGATGTATAGATAAAAAGCTTCATTTCGTTTCGATTTTGATGCTTATGTTAAAGTATACAGTAATTCAAGTGTATTTATTTAAAGCTATCAATATTAACTCTGCAGTGCAGCCTTATCATCTTTCAAGTCGTTTTTATTGAGTTTATTATGCATAGAGCATGAAATGTCTGATTAGAAGCGAGACTTGATTCCACGTGACTTCAGTTTAACAATTCAATGTTGACTGACATAACTTGAAGCGTTTTTCGATAATATCGAGCATATTAGTACTGTACTTATTTTTGAGGCGGGTCTTCGTGTTTTCAGGTCTCATGCAGATGAGCTAGGCCTCAAAAAAGGAGAAATTCTTAATAATATCTCGAAGAAGTTAAAAGTAAATCTCTTTCGCGGTTGCTTGCGGGTGATTTCGGTGACGAGAAACGGGACTTTTTTTTCTATGTTTCGAGGTACAGTAGAAGAAACAGGAAGAGTACGGACCGCTCCGCAATCCTTGCAAGGGACCGGGTCCAAGGGGCCGCTAACAGGGCGGACAGTTGCACTGCGCAAGAGAGGCAGACAGCGAACGAGAGAGCAGTCCCTCCTCTCCTTTAACCGCATTCTTCGACTCACCCTCGTCATCCATCAGCAGGCAGGAGTCGGAGAGTGCAGCGTAATCAACCGCGGGCAGCACGTTGCCAGAATTCCACTTTTGTTTCCATTTTTCACGCTGCACTTTGCAGGTGGAAGGAAAAAAAAAATTGAGCGAAAATCTCCGCCTTGAAGCCGCAACGACGGACACATTAACTCGTAAGCCTACGCTCTCTAAAGGTCTTATCCGTCGTCGCAGCTTAGCGGTTCCGACGCTAGTTACCCGACTAAAAAAAAGGAGTAGCACGGCAAAAACTTTTTTCGCGAGCTGAAACAGTGATCAATCTGACTTTGATGTTCCATCAGAATCATTAGCTTCCATTAAGTTGAGTGCTGCCGTGAAGAAGGGATGCGTCTCGATGAAAGCATTCTTTTTTTTTTCCTGCAATGGCCTCAAATCCTGCGCGAACACGATGCCATAATTGTCTTAGCTTTTGACCTCTACCTTGGATGCATCAAAGCAATTCTATACATAGACTAAAGCAAATGATGCTTTGCGATGCATCGCAGAATTTCATTAATATATTTCTTTCAGCCAAATATTCGACGATGCCACGTTAAAATTCAATAATTTTGTATAAAGTTGAACCTTGATATCTCGAACCTCCCCTAGTCAAAATTTTTTGTTACTGTCTGAATTTGCTTAAGAGCAATACATTAAAAATCTCTCTGACTGGAAGGCTTTCCTCCAAAAAATCTGTACCACTCAAATTTTGTGGAGGCCTTTTGACTATTATTGTATTGGCACAGGAAAGAGAAAACAATACAAATGTGACGATGTGCTTTGGAAGGAAATTAAAAACTTAGTGTGCAGATAAAACCTTGCCTTCAAGTTCAACATCTTGCCAATTTGCGGCCTAGAATATCGCAAATCACAATATCCCGTAATTCGTATTTTTTTCAACCACAACACAACGATTATTTCCCTAACTCGAAACCACCCCAACTCTTATTTTTCTCTTGCTGGTCCCTTGAAGTTCGACTTCAAGAGGTTGGACTGCTGTATATTCATCATTCTCCGAATTAAATCGTTAGAATTCAAAATGGAGCGAGAAGAGAATTTTTCAGGAAATGCCTTTCGGACTGCTTTTATATTAGATTTTGAGGATAAGTATTCGACTTGCCTGGCGCATTTCGGTGACATCAAATTGAACTTCGGCGTTGCTGCCTGTGTAATTGAGCATTCGGATGCGAGAGATTTCCAGAATAGGCAGCAGCGTCGAATCGCCAAGGCTGCGATCAATGGGCTGATTTTTTTTCCTCATCGTGCCGTTTTTTTTTTTTTCGCGGGCTGAAACAGTGATCAATCTGACTTTGATGTTCCATCGGAATCATTAGCTTCCATTAAGTTGAGTGCTGCCGTGAAGAAGGGATGCGTCTCGATGAAAGCATTCTTTCTTTCTTTTTCCTGCAATGGCGTCAAATCCTGCCCGAACACGATGCCATAATTGTCTTAGCTTTTGACCTCTACCTTGGATACATCAAAGCAATTCTATACATAGACTAAAGAAAATGATGCTTTGCGATGCATCGCAGAATTTCATCAATATATTTCTTTCAGCCAAATATTCGACGATGCCACGTTAAAATTCAATAATTTTGTATAAAGTTGAACCTTGATATCTCGAACCTCCCCTAGTCAAATATGTCCCTCCCTCTAGACAAAATTTTTTGTTACTGTCTGAATTTGCTTAAGAGCAATACATTGAAAATCTCTCTGACTGGAAGGCTTTCCTCCAAAAAATCTGTACCACTCAAATTTTCTGGAGGCCTTTTGACTATTATTGTATTGACACAGGAAAGAGAAAATAATACAAATGTGACGATGTGCTTTGGAAGGAAATTAAAAACTGCGTGTGCAGATAAAACCTTGCCTTCAAGTTCAACATCTTGCCAATTTGCGGCCTAGAATATCGCAAATCACAATATCCCGTGATTCGTATTTTTTTCAACCACAACACAACGATTATTTCCCTAACTCGAAACCACCCCAACTCTTATTTTTCTCTTGCTGGTCCCTTGAAGTTCGACTTCAAGAGGTTGGACTGCTGTATATTCATCATTCTCCGAATTAAATCGTTAGAATTCAAAATGGAGCGAGAAGAGAATTTTTCAGGAAATGCCTTTCGGACTGCTTTTATATTAGATTTTGAGGATAAGTATTCGACTTGCCTGGCGCATTTCGGTGACATCAAATAGCATTCTGGGTCACAAAACTCTCCTTGAAGATTGACAAACGAATTCAGCGAGAATCCCCCGGGGAGGATGCAGAAGGCCGTACATGCTGGCATTGATGAACACAGGAGAAATAATGTAATGTACATGTTCCTCCTATAGCTTGTACCTTTTTTTTTTTTATTCAAGCCAATCACGTCTTTTGATCTCATAGAAAGCAAAATGCCCTGATTCCGTGCAAATATCGGTTCATCCATCCCCCACGAATTTCACGCGATGGGAGATCAAAGGAGGACTAAAACCCCGGCGGATGTGTTGGGGTTTATTTTTCAAAGTCGGAGAGAAACCGGAAGGCATCAGCGAACTGATGCCATTGATGCTTTTTTTTCCCCACAGGCTCCAGTCAGGGCAAGCACGAGCGCTCTTTGCTGAACCACCTGCTCCTCAATTACAACGTGCTGGAGAGGCCCGTGGCAAACGAATCGGACCCCTTAGTACTCAGCTTCGGTCTCACGTTAATGCAGATCATTGATGTGGTGAGTCTTCTCGTGAGCTCTTCCGACCGGCATTTCGGACTTGCTTTTCGCCCCCGAATTCCTGTCACCGCCGTCTGTTCTTGCTCAAAACGTCCGCCTCATATGAAGAACCGCAGCATTGCTTGCTGATACTGTGCATCGATTTTCCAGAGAACGCAATTAGTCAGGATCTCACGCGACATATTGCAGACATTTTCCAAGAAATTTCCCTCAAAAAAAACCCTCGCACTGTTCGACCCTTATCAAAAATCAGCCTTTTACCAAATAAGCACCGGAAACAAAATTCGCTTTACAGCCAAACTTCAAAGGAATAAACCTTTTTTAAATTGATCAATTACAAAAATGTTCTCCAGACAGGTGCGTTTTTCCGATTTTTGGCCGAAATCAAAAATCTCATAACTTTAAGCCTCAAAAATTCAAATCTCATTCCTCGAAAAAATAAACTGCTAACTCCAGTCCATGGATTTAAAGTTTTTCAATAATAAACAATTTTTACAGTATACATTTTTTCTGTTTAAATCGAATGTTCCTTTCTAATTTCGGAAATTTTCGAGAGTTTTTTTTTTTAAAAAATTTAACGGCGAGACAAAATTTTTTTAAGAAGGAAAAGTAAAATAATGAGTAAACTAGATTTGCGTTGGAATCTAAATTCAAAACCGCTTTCCGTAAATTTGAAATAATTGGGTCACCCTGGATATCCGAAATACTCAAAGCTGAACGCAGTAATAAACCTCTTGAAATGTTTATCAGCAGGTGCAAGCCACAGATACGGCAAGAAAGGCCTAAACGTTTTATTTTGATGATTTATTTTGCATAATTGCGAATCGATTTCGAGAGTTCGGTTATGAGAAAGTTTTCTCCGGAATTATAGCCTTGACTATCCCGAAAGTCGTTTCCTGGTTAATTAGATGAACTCCGCGGAGCTCTTTCTCAAAATTGGACTATCAAGAACGAGTAATTTTAGAACTTGAATCTGATTAATACTTTCATGGGGATAGTCAACGGACTCCTCAAGTACTGTAATGTTGAAGTGTAGAAATGGTCTCTGCAAAGAAAGACGTTTAATTTCGGGAGCTCGTCTCGTTTTGCAGCGAGCATCCGTCTTAATTTATGACGTGTCCTGTGTAGTGCAGAGAAGAAGAAGAAGAAAAAGGCATTATTTCATCAGACTCGACGGAGCCACGTCGGGGAAATACGAAATACAGCAGTTGTCCGACGGAAAAAAATGGCGGCGAATGAATTTGAGCAAGGATGGCGGCGGTTCCCTCGAGAAACCGGCGCTACATTCAGGGCAAAATGAAAGAGAAACCCCTTTTGAAACACTCTGTTGCCTCTGTGACTTTTTATAGGACGAAAAGAATCAGATACTTACAACAAACATTTGGTTGAACCTGGTAAGTGGAACAAGGGAAGACCGGAAAGCCGCGGGTGTTCTTTTTCCTGTCATTTTCTGTTCACGCTGTTGCATCCCGACTCTGTTTCTCGGCGGAAATTCTTAAATGTTCGTCACATCGGGCACGAGATGCTCCGGCCCCACTTTTTTTTTCCTGCCTTTTTCTTGTCTCGGTCGTTTGTCCAGCGCCGCTCTGCTTCTGCTTATCCTACTGCTGCTGCTGCTGCTGCTGCATTGCAACGAATTCCCCCAACTGCGATCTCTCATGCGGCGCATATACAGACATGGATGCGACAGAAAATCGCATATTTGCATCCTTTTAAAGCCCGTAAAAACGACATGCACTCTCCTTCTTTTTCCTTGCATGGCTGGAGCCGGAATTCCCACGTGATCCCAAGATCAATCTCATTGTACAAATACAGTACCATGCACCGCGTGTACATGATAACTTCCTTTCACGCCCCAGTTGTCTTTTGAGACGAGCAATTGAGTCTTCCAGAAGGAGCGAAGACGAATTTTGTTTTTTTCCTGGAAACGCATCAACTTAAAGATATAACTCTTTTCTGCTGGACAGGATTCCGATCGCCTCACTGGGATCAACTTTTCAAGTTCCCGAATCATATTAGCCTGAGAAATGCAAGTGAATAATTTAATTTAATACGGAGGAGAGCTTTTCGATTGATGGTATGGCATACAGGTTTACTTGAATGAATGAATGAATGAATGAACAGAACACTTTATTTTCCGATTTTCAGCGTTCACAAGGTTCAATCAAGATTTCCACANGTGGTACGAAAGATGGTGCGGGAATCGAGGATAATCGTCCGTTTCATGCGCACATTACTTTTTGCGCTACGAAAAGATCACTCCAGAGCAGGAAAGCGCAAATTGAAAACAAAAATATAATAAAATACAATCCATGAAATACAACTGAACATCTGACATGTATTCATACCCCCATTCATTCCATGAAATTGGAAACAAAATATATGTAAAAATTAATTTAAAGCACAAGGTCTTCAGCTTTTTTCTGTATGAGGTTTAGTTTAATGAATGAGTTGTATGAGTTTACTTGATAATCCATTTGTCTCTGAGATTTGAGAAAATATTTTCGACCGGGATGTGTCACCGTATACGCTTATAGAAAACTAGTGGTCTGTAATGTGGCTTTATACAAATGGGCCTGGTATGGAGGGGTTTTCAGAAATTTCGCGCTTGGTAATTGGCAATTTTGCGAGGTGGTTCGCAAAGATGCCACGTTTGAAGAGTTTTACGATGAACATGAAGATTTGAAAGCCCTGATATCCGAAGAGCATCATTCTTTCCCGTAATGTGAGATGACCGATTCCCAAGACTGCATTTGTCAACGAGGTTTTACGTGCAGCCGACGTTGTCGTCTTCTGATCCCGGAACAACGGAACTGGACGAAATTTCCCGCGGAGCATGTTTTACATTTCGGTTCCGGGTTTTCTCCGGATATCCGCGACGGGAATTCCGGAAATTGAGTGCGGGACGTCTTCGCCCCAGTCTGAGGTCGTGACAGGAGTGGGAGATTATGCGCATTGACCCGTTCCGCTAGCAACTCGTCCATGGTCATGGAAGAACTGGTTCCTCCAGGTTCGTTGGTGAGGTGGGCGGGGGAAGAGTCAGGCAAGAAGAAAGAGGAAAATAAATAAGACGGAAACGAGACCCTGGGGAGAGTCCGCCTGCGAAAGACGAGGAGGAGGGTGTTTCCAGAAGTTTCTTCCTATGCTTCCCGTGTGGGGTTGAACAAAGTCTGGGACATGAAGTTATTTATTTTCATTCCTTCTATACATGCTACGCTCGAGATACAGTCCCTATAGCTCAGGGGTTTTAACCCGTGGTACGTGTTCCACGCAGGTTTTTTTTTCACGAAAGCAGCAGTATTTGAATTTCAAGTGCTGACACTTCACTCGGAAGTCAAAATCTTACATCAACTTCCCCTAGGCCATGGATGACCTGAAGGATTATTGAACAAATATTGTTGTTCAATACATGTGAGCACTTCACTCAAGTTCAATTATGTATAAAACAGGTGCAGTTGTGAAGTCCAGAAATAATTTCATACTAGGTACTTCCCCCTATGGTGCACTCTCTGGAGGTGGTAACGTAAATTGCAAGAGAAATATAAGTTTGAAAAGGGCTATGTTGGCTGACAAATGATCATCATTTAATTCCGCAAGTACTCATAAAGGCTTCGATATGGATCGATGAACATTTGCTGGAATTCCTAAAATGCAGTCAATGACGCGAGTGCAGGTAATGGTGCGGGCTTCCGGAATGAAAACAGCGCACATTTTCGAATAAAGACCTGCTGGAAACGTTACCGTGTCCAACAATAACCATAGATTAAGATAATGTCAATCATTTCAGTGATATGTTGAGACGTGAGAGTATATTTGCTAGTTGCGTTTCATTATACAGTGGGCCCCCATCTTACGTCATCAATCCATTCCAGGATGGATGTCATAACATGGGGCCGTCGTTAGTTGAAACCCTATTTCCCTTAAGATTACATTGTAAAAAAAATTAATTTGTTCCAGAAAAAAATATTAAACTAAAATTACCTTTATATTTCAACTTTTTAATTCCTCCTAAACAAAATTATTCAGCTATAATTTAATGCACTGGGCATTACAGAACACACAAAATTCAAAATCCCTCCTAAACGCAATTATTCAGCAATAATGAAATGAACTGTACAGCGCACACAAAATTTAAAAAATGCTCCGAACACAGCAATTTCCAAACTTGAGGACAATTTATTTCCTGTGCATGGCACCATCTCACACTATTAACAGTTTAATCTGGCTAGGAATGAACCTTGGCACACAAAAAAACACACTTCCTCCCAGGAAAACCTTTGGAGCATGCATGGTGCCAAAAAATGGTTGGTGGGAGGGAGCTGAAAAACCTCAGAAGCTGTTGTATCATGAAATCATGAAACCCCGACGTAAGTTGGGGGTTTTTTATACTTAAAAAAGTGTCATAAGTTGAAACCGACGTAACATGGGCCCGTCGTAAGTCGGGGCCCACTGTACTGTACAATACAGTATACAGCATCTATAGAGAAACTCTGGATACTCATGACAATAAGCAACGAAGAATCTCGAGGTTTCCGCTTTGTTCGTACCATGTATTTTGTCATTTGCTGGAATTCCTAAAATGCAGTCAATGACGCGAGTGCAGGTAATGGTGCGGGCTTCCGGAATGAAAACAGCGCACATTTTCGAATAAAGACCTGCTGGAAACGTTACCGTGTCCAACAATAACCATAGATTAAGATAATGTCAATCATTTCAGTGATATGTTGAGACGTGAGAGTATATTTGCTAGTTGCGTTTCATTATACAGTGGGCCCCCATCTTACATCTATCAATCCATTCCAGGATGGATGTCATAACATGGGGCCGTCGTAAGTTGAAACCCTATTTCCCTTAAGATTACATTTAAAAAAAATTAATTTGTTCCAGAAAAAAAATATTAAACTAAAATTACCTTTATATTTCAACTTTTTAATTCCTCCTAAACAAAATTATTCAGCTATAATTTAATGCACAGGGCAATACAGAACACACAAAATTCAAAATCCCTCCTAAACGCAATTATTCAGCAATAATGAAATGAACTGTACAGCACACACAAATTTTAAAAAATGCTCCAAACACAGCAATTTCCAAACTTAAGGACAATGTATTTCCTGTGCATGGCACCATCTCACATTATTAACAGTTTAATCTGGCTAGGAATGAACCTTGGCACACAAAAAAACTCACTTCCTCCCAGGAAAACCTTTGGAACATGCATGGTGCCAAAAAATGGTTGGTGGGAGGGAGCTGAAAAACCTCAGAGGCTGTTGTATCATGAAACCCCGACGTAAGTTGGGGGTTTTTCATATTTAAAAAAGTGTCATAAGTTGAAACCAACGTAACATGGGTCGTAAGTCGGGGCCCACTGTACTGTACAATACAGTATACAGCATCTATAGAGAAACTCTGGATACTCATGACAATAAGCAACGAAGAATCTCGAGGTTTCCGCTTTGTTCGTACCATGTATTTTGTAGATGGTGCGGGAATCGAGGATAATCGTCCGTTTCATGCGCACATTACTTTTTGCGCTACGAAAAGATCATAATGCATTATGTGCCATCATCCATATCAATACAACCCCCCAACTTGCTATAAACACAAAGCTAGTACTTGGAAATCTGGAATGTGAAATCTCGTAAGATCGTTGCAGGTTTTCCCGGTACTTGACCATCACCCAAAGGTATAGTGTGAAAACACTTGAGTTTTGAAAGGGGGATAATTAAATGAAAAACAAGGATTTAAGCCCCTCTTCTACTCTTTTTGCGAACGAATTATTTCTTGAAGCTATTTTGACCCCGGTCGACACACTCTGCCATTAAATACTGGTTTTTTCAGGAAATACTAGTTGCATTCAGTTTTTTTTTTTTCATTCCTGGTCCATAACACAAACTTTTCACGTCGCTTCACCGCTCGTCGCAATATTTTTACGGAAAATTGTGACTGCAGAATTTAGCAGCATGCCAGCATAGCCACGTTGTGCCAAAAAAAAATTATCATGCTAAAAATTGTTTCTGGAATATCGTGAAAAGCAGGATTTTTTTAGAGTCGTGCAAAAATTTTGTTTGAGTGATTCATGCTAGTTAATCTAATAAAATGGTCGCTTAACATGTAAACGATTTATGAAAATAATGAAAAAGCCGACGTGAATAAATGTGTATCTCCTCTTCATCCCAGTACTTTATTTAACGATTTCCTGTTTCTGTTACATGGCTTACATTTTTTCCTTCATCAGCTTTGCTTTTCCTTTACGTGTGGACGCTCCGTTTTTCGAAGTGCTCAAACTTTTCTGTCACTCATATTTGAGAAGGCTGCGCTGAAAATAATATTTCTTTCGAAGTTATCTCCACAAACTCATCCGATGAGAAAAGTAAATGTTTTACGAGCTATG